TGTTGGAGAGTCTTGAAAGTTTTTAAGTTTGAAGGGTACCAGAAGAGAGAGATGTCTTGAGTTTTTTCTTCAAAAATGCTTGTTGCTTGAAGTCTTCATCAATCTCGGAATGATGGAGAGTCTTGAAGATTTTGCGTACTCCGCCCATACCATACATACACTTAATCCAGAATCCATCTCTGTTGGGTAAGTACGAGTGTCCAAAGCTAAGAGAGCCTCTGCACTTTGTTTGTTACCTTCAGGCAGATTCAGGTAACTCACGAAATCCGTTTTGCCACTGTCTCTTTATGCTTTGGATAATTGCATTTCTATGATCCTTAATTCCTTATCACACTTCCTGTCTCTTTGGTTTGACATGTTCTAGAATTATTGTTTGGTGGATTTATATGAGCTGACTAGTTAGTATTTGGATGTTTTGTCATTCGTAGGAAAACAAATTCCATGAAATTGTCAGTTCTTCTATGAAAATGATTTTGATATGCCAAATGGATAGTTAAATTATAGAGTAATGGATTGAAGGAACAACATAATCACTATAATTGTTGGGTGATTTCTTCCAGTTTTTTCTCATGGAAGACAAAGTCGGTATTGTGGGTCTGTATGGTATGGGTGGAGTAGGGAAAACAATAAGTTTTCTAAAGAAGGTAGCAGATTTGATGTCGTGATATGGGTTGTGGTGTCTAAAAATGCAACAGTCCATAAGATTAACGAAGTTGAGTTATGGCTTAGGAATGTCGAGATCATTGTAAACAAATTCCGTGAAACACATACGGCTTGTACTAGTGACCTTGAAGGGTTCTCTTTATGAAGGTTGTTCAAAAAAATTAGTATCAAGGTTTCGTTACGGGAAAGATGTTTTCTCGATGTTGGAATATGTAGAAGCTCTCATATTAACAGGGACATTCGATGCGGTGGCTGGTCCACATGAGAGAGATGTGGTGGAGGAAAGGCATCTACAACCAATCATTGTTGGTCAGGAATCAATACTCGAAAGGGCATGGAAGCATCTCATGAATAATGGGTCTCTACGGTATGGGTGGAGTAGGAAAAACGACTCTTCTTGATCAAATCAACAATAAGTTTTGTGACACAAAAGATGGGGGTTGATGTTGTCATTTGGGCTGTGGGCTATGGGAGAAAGTGAACTTAACTGTCACTGGAATCCCGAATCCGAGCAGAGAAAACGGATGCAAAGTAGCATTTACCACCCGCTCTCGAGATGTGTGTGGGCGCATTGTCTAGATACCTGTAAAGCATGGGATTTGTTCAGAAAGAAAGTCGGAGACAACACACTGGAAAGCCACCCAGACATTCCTGACCTCGCAAGAAAAGTCGCTGGAAAATGCCGTGGCCTACCAYTGGCACTTAATGTCATTGGCGAAACTATGGCATGCAAAAGCACAGTACACGAGTGGCATCGGGCAGTTGACGTTTTGACTTCGTCTGCCACAGATTTTTCAGGCATGGAAGATGAGATTCTTCCGATTTTGAAGTATAGCTATGATAGTTTAAATGGTGAGCAAGTGAAATCGTGTTTCCTCTATTGCTCTATGTTTCCTGAAGATTATGAAATGGAGAAAGAAAGGTTGATAGAGTACTGGATAGGTGAGGGATTCATAGATGAGAAGGAAGGCAGAGAGAAGGCATTAAATCAAGATTATGAGATACTCGGCACCCTTGTTCGTGCATGTTTATTGTTGGAGGGATCAAAAGATAAATCGAAAGTGAGTATGCATGATGTGGTTCGTGAGATGGCGCTATGGATAGCATCTGATCTTGGAAAGTATAAAGAAAGATGCATTGTGCAAGCTGGTGTTGGGTTACGTGAAGTACCAAAAGTCAAGAATTGGAAGAATGTGAGAAGGATGTCGCTAATGCAGAGTGAGATTGAAAAGATATCTGAGAGCCCTGATTGTCCTGAACTTACAACTCTCCTCCTTAGAGAAAACAGAAGGCACTTACAACTCTCAGGTGAATTCTTTCGGTCTATGCCTAGACTACGCGTTTTGGATCTATCACGAAATGAAAGTCTCCGTGGATTGCCAGAGCAAATATCAGGTTTGGTTTCCTTGAGATATCTCGACTTGTCAAGGACAAGTATAAAGCGACTACCTGTTGGTTTACAAGAGTTGAAAATGCTAATACATCTGAATTTGGAGGGGACGAGGAAACTTGAGAGTTTAGATGGGATATCAAATTTGTCGAGTTTGGGTTCCAAAGTGTGGCTAGATATGAGCATAATGAAGGAGCTGCAGCTCTTAGAACATTTAGAATACATACGCATATATATCTCGTCAAGTTTGGTTGGGAAACTATTGGCATATGATAGCAGAGTGGGGAGATGTATTCAACACCTTTCTATTGAGGAGCGTCCGGAAGAATCAGTAAGAGAATTAGTTTTGCCAGCTATGGAGAATCTACCTCTAGTCGAGATATATGATTGTGAAATGAGGGAGATAAAGATAGAGAAACCACCATGGGGCAAAAGTCTAACAAACCTCTCTCGTGTGGAAATAGTAAGGTGTCGTGGTTTAAAGGATTTGACGTGGCTGCTGTTCGCTCCAAACCTTACTCATCTTCACCTTATGAGGTTGATGCAACTAGACGAGATAATAAGCAAAGAGAAAGCTGCGAGTGTTTTAGACAAGGAGACATGTAATAATATTATTCCTTTCCAGAAACTGAAACTCCTTTACTTGTCTGACTTGCCAGACAAGGAGTGTTATATACTGGAATGCTCTGCCTTTTCAACGTCTGACAGAGCTCCGCATATCGGGCAATTGTGAGATACTGAGAAAGCTTCCATTGGATTCTAAAAGCGTCTTAAAGGTTGAAGGATTTGCTTTACAATACACAGAGGAAGAATGGATGCAAGGGATCGAATGGGAGGACGAAGCCACACGACTTCGTTTCTTACCTTCCCATGAATGTGTGTCAAAGACTTAGAGCATAAGGATTTTCTTACTTGTTTTACAATGAGATACATCTTGTGTTAAAGAGTTTTAGGAGATTAATTACAACATTTGGCCTAAACATGAGGCCGTCCTCATACCTATGGCTTCCCGAACATGGAGTCGACGATTGCAACGTTTCTTACCTTCAGTTTTTTCGTTTTGTACAATTTGGGAAAAACGTTAGGCAAATAATTAAACTCATATTACATTTTTCGATTATGCAACGAAACTAAAATCCAAACCTAATGATTCGTTTTCCCAATTTCAACAATTCTAGCATTATTCCACCGTGTAATCTTTTGTTCTTCGTTGAATCAAATTCAATTTAACAAGAAAATCAATCATCGTAAGACTCTAAAACAAAAATGGATAAAATTCATACATTTGTTGGTACCGGCTTAGGTCTGAGTGACATCAAATCAACTAAATCTGGGTTCTAACAGATTCTAACACTGGGTTTAAAGAGGGTTTTAACTCATATGACATTGTCATCGAAAGAATAATAATGACCCTGTTTACTTGAGAAACAAGGAAGAGAATGAAGATTAAAACAGAGACTCTGTTTATATTAACGTCGTGTTAAACAAGTTGAAAAAAGATGGGGTTTAATTAGGCTTTAAAATTTAAAGATTTGTTTGTTCGTTGGCTATTTTCTCATTGTTTAGTAGAGATGAAAACGACATAGCCACTGTAGTTGCGACTACTACTGTCAGATTCTTGGAATCTTGCTAAATTACAACAAAAACAAGACTTTGACTCATTAAAACAAAAAAATTCCAGCAAAATTCCAAGCTCTGGAGTTATTTCGTTTCTTCTTCCTAATATTTTCTCATCTCGTTTGCAAATCGAGATTAAGCTTTCCTCGTTTGCATAGTGAATCCATCTCTTTGTGTGTCAACTGCAAGATGGGTGGTTGTGTCTCTATCCAATTATCATGCGATCAAATGTTGAACCATCTCGGTAGCTTCTTTTGCAGAAAACTCAAATATATTCAAAATCTCAAGGAGAATCTCAAAGCTCTTGATATAGCCATGGAAGATCTCAATGCGGTGCGAGCTGATCTTCTGCATAAGGTGCAGAGAGCAGAGGAAGGAGGTCTACAAAGGCTTCATCAAATCAAGGTATGGCTTAAGAGAGTAGAGACTATGGAATCCCAATACAATGAACTAGATGGTACTAGAACCGTTGAACTTCAAAGGTTGTGTTTTTACGGCGCTAGCTCGAATAACTTAAGGTTGAGTTATCGCTACGGAAAAAAGGTTTTCTTGATGTTGAATACGGTTGAAGACTTAAAATCTAAAGGGATTTTTGAAGAGGTGGCTCATCCAGCTACGAGAGCTGTGGGCGAGGAAAGACCGCTACAACCGACGATTGTTGGTCAAGAAACAATTCTCGAAAAGGCGTGGAACCACCTCATGGATGATGGAACTAAGATAATGGGTCTTTATGGTATGGGTGGAGTAGGGAAAACAACTCTTCTCACACAGATCAACAATAAGTTTGTTGATTTGTGTGACAAAAATGATGGGGTTGAGATTGTCCTTTGGGTTGTGGTTTCTGGTGATCTACAAATCCACAAGATACAAGAAGAGATTGGGAAAAGGATAGGATACAAAGGTGTGGAATGGAATCGGAACACAAGAAACCAGAAGGCGGTTGACATACTCAATCTTCTAAGCAAGAAGAGATTTGTGTTGCTTCTTGATGACATATGGAGGAAAGTAGATTTAACCGAGATTGGAATCCCCAATCCAACGAGCGAAAACGGATGCAAAATAGTATTCACCACACGCTCTCAAGAGGTATGTGCGAGTATGGGAGTTCATGATCCAGTGGAAGTCAGATGTTTAGGTACAAATGATGCTTGGGACTTGTTCAAGAAAAAAGTTGGAAATTTTACACTAGAAAGCCATCCGGACATTCCAAAACTCGCGAGAAAAGTCGCTGGAGCTTGTCGTGGCTTGCCGCTAGCGCTAAACGTCATTGGAGAGACAATGGCATGCAAGAAGACGACACAAGAATGGAACCATGCGGTTGATGTTTTGAAAACATATGCTGCTGATTTTAGTGATGTGAAAGAGAAGATACTTCCGATCTTGAAGTATAGCTACGATAATCTTGAAAGCGATTGTGTCAAATCTTGTTTCCAATATTGTTCTCTGTTTTCTGAAGATACTCCAATAGACAAAGACCGGCTAATCGATTATTGGATATGCGAGGGATTCATCGATGAATATGAAAGTAAAAAAGAAGCTGTGAACCAAGGCTATGCGATACTCGGTACACTTGTGCGTGCCTCTCTATTGTTGGAAGGAGGAAAGTACAACAATAAGTCATTTGTGAAAATGCATGATGTGGTTCGCGAGATGGCATTGTGGATATCATCTGATCTTGGGAAGCATAAAGGGAATTATATCGTACGAGCCGGTGTTGGTTTAAACGAACTACCAAAGGTCAAGGATTGGAAAGTTGTGAAGAGGATGTCATTAGTGAATAACAGGATTGAAGAAATACATGGAAGCCATGAGTGTCCTAAGCTTAAAACTCTGTTCCTTCAAGATAATCGCCATTTGGTAAGTATCTCTGGAGAATTCTTCCGGTCTATGCCAAGATTAGTTGTTTTGGATCTATCATGGAATGTCAATCTCAGTGGATTGCCAGAGCAAATCTCTGAGTTGGTTTCTTTGCGATATCTTGACTTGTCGGAATCAAACATATGGCGATTACCGGTTGGTTTACAAAAGCTGAAAAAGCTAATGCATCTGAATTTAGAGTCTATGTTGAACCTTGAGAGTGTTTCAGGGATATCGAATCTGTCGAGTTTGAAGACATTGAGACTACAAAACTTCAGAATGTGGCTAACTACAAGCTTATTGGAGGAGCTGGAACGTTTGGAACATTTAGAAGTTCTAACCATAGAGATCACTTCAAGTTCAGCATTGAAACAACTGTTATGCTCTCACAAGCTGGTGAGATGTATTCAAAAGGTAGCTATTAAGTACCTCGACGAAGAATCAGTCGAGATTTTGACTTTACCAGCTATAAGTAATCTCCATGAAGTCTACATAGGAGGATGTGGAATCCGAGAGATACTAATAGAGAGGAACACAAGTCTAACAAGTCCATGTTTTCCTTACTTATCCAAAGTTTTAATAACCGGTTGCGACGGTCTTAAGGATTTGACATGGCTCTTGTTCGCTCCTAACCTCACTCATCTCAATGTTTGGAGCTCAAGCCAAGTCGAAGAAATAATAAGCAAAGAGAAAGCTTCCATGATTTTGATAGGGAATGAGGCAGATGCTGTTCCTTTTCGGAAACTGGAGTATATACACTTGTGGGATTTACCTGAACTGAAGAGTATCTACTGGAGTGCTCTGCCTTTTCCATGCCTGAACCAGATCAATGTACAGAACAATTGTCAAAAGTTGAGGAAACTTCCATTGGATTCTCAAAGTTGCAATGCAGGTGAAGAACTTGTTATCGAATACGGAGATGAAGAATGGAAAGAAAAGGTTGAATGGGAAGATGAAGCAACAAGAGTCCGTTTCTTACCTTCTTGCAAGTTGGTTTTGTATAATCTATAAGGTTTCAGACAAAACATGTATGGTCTTAAATCTCTTTCTCTCTACTCTCATTTTGCAATGGACCTTGTAATTTTCTTTACCATTGTATTTGTCTTGTTCTGTTTTAGAGTGTTCTTCGGATTGTGGCCTTGATCTCCCTTTTGCTTCACGTTTTCTCAAGTTATTGTTTGGATTTAGTCACTAAAAAACTATGTATATGATATTTGTATGTCCTCTGGATTCATCAAGCTTCAAAAGAGGACATGGAGACAATAGGTTGTTTCCTAGCTTTGAAAGTGACCATAGAGAAACATAAATAGGGAAATTTTGTGAGACATTATACCAAATATTCGGTTCGATAAAGTCTTGTAACTGGGAGGGCCCATAACGAAACACATACACTGATTCCTCTCGTTCGATTTCGCCGCCCTTGAAAAATCACTTGCGAATGGGGTAATTGTTATAGGAAAACGAAGAGGAAGAAGAGAGATGATGTTCATGGAAGGGTAGGCAGAGAAGATTTTACTCGAATGCTTGCTCAAGTCCAGGTATGGCTTACAAATGTCCTGACCGTCGAGAACAAATTCAATGATCTGCTTAGCACTTGAGCTTCAAAGGTTGTGTCTCTGTGGATTTTGCTCTAAGTGGGGGAGATGTATTCAAGAAGTTGCTATTATGTCGCGTCGGGAAGGGTCAGTGAGAGTATTAGTTCTGCCAGCTATGGATAGTCTGTGTAAAATCTGGATATCGGATAGTGGAATGAGGGAGATAAAGATAGAGAAGGCACCATGGGACAAGGGTCTGACAAGTCCATGCTTCTCAAACCTCTCCAGAGTCGCAGTAGAAGGGTGTGATGGTTTAACGGATTTGACGTGGCTGCTGCTCGCTCCAAACCGTATTCTTGTTAATCTTTTGGGACTAAAACAAGTAGAGGAGATAATAAGCCAAGAGAAAGACAAGGAGACATGTAATAATATTGTTCCTTTCCAGCAACTTGGAAGATTTGCCTGAGCTGACTGGAATGCTCTGCCTTTTCAACGTCTCAAATATCTCGACCTACACGATTTTCCGAAGCTGAGAAAGCTTCCATTGGAAGCCACACTAAACCGTTTCTTACCTTCATGTAGGCTATCCACCTTCTAGAGTTTGAACATTGTTCTGTTTCTCTATTTTTCTACATCTGTTTCTCTTTTGTCTTGGGTTCTGAACTTAACCCCTTAAATATTTATATGACTGTTGTTGGTTCACGTAAGCTGATGATTATTTAGATGTTTTGAAGAAAAAAATGAATGAAAGTTTGCAAAAACAAAAAATCCAAGCTATGGCCATTTTACCTAAACTATTAAATGGTGCAAATGGGAGGGCAAACGTGCTGCCCAAGTCAACGGCGGAGAAAGACTGGTCGGTTGTTCCCGACTTCTGCAACATCAACTATGGAAAGATCTGCAGGAAGAGACAATGCCTTATCTCTCTCTCTCAGTTGTTTCAATTGTCAGGTTTTGTGGATGATGAAACTGGTGGATGTATATTGATAAAGGGGGCTTGAAAAGAGTGTTTGTCAAATTGCCTGTTTGATATGTTTATAGTTGTTTAGTCCCTGATTCGTTACTTTTGATATTGCTCAACTTGTACTCAGTATTGTTGGTATTTCTAGTTTGCAGTTTTACTACACTTGATCTCAAGGCTTGTTCTAAGAAGCATTATGAAATTCTGCTTCTGTGGTAAGTCTGAAACAATTTCTCCTTAATTTCTCTCACTAATTGGACCGACTTAAAACAGCTATAAACTGCTGACATTCAGTACTAGACTAGTCACAGTTAGACCCATAGCTAAGTCTTAAGCAGCTGAACTTATCAAAGTCTGAAACTCCAGTCCAAACAACTGAATCTTCACTTCCTCTTATTCAGTCAGTGTGTCTTGCCTTATCAGAATTTCAGACTATGTGTCGCTATTACGTTTATATATTCATCTGAATAGACTGCTAATCTTTGGTTTTGTGAGGCCTGTATGCATTCAGGTTCTTGTGGTTTGTTCTTGAAAATTTCTCATGGAGAAGACATGTCCTTTGTTCCTCGGTCAAGTCTTCCAATGGTTCTTACAGTTATGAATGTTTCTTTTGTGCTTAAGCACTATATGTGTGGGTAGTTTCCTTAAATATGATAAACTGGGGACCATTTCAGTAGGAGAAGACTTAGATATTTGGTTTAATTAGCATTTTTGGACTCATGCAATAATGCTCTTTGCTTTACCAGAGACTGCATTATTCC